TAAAGTGCAAATAATTAAAAAGAAATATCAATAGCGTGTGCCAAACAATGATGGCAATTTTTCATTCCGTGTAGTCTTGCGAGTTAGACAAAAAATAGTTTGTTGCAGACGAATGCCCGGAAGAATTCTGTATTCGCCAAGGTTCACGCACGCGCGCTTAATCGAATGAGTCTCTGAGACTTCACTGCGTCTTGAAAGGTTTGAAAAGTTCCGCTCTAGTCGAGCATCATATGAAGGAAGACTTCCTTGCTTTTTGAGAATATTGAAAAAATTTTTAAATTACTTACTAGTAGAGAGGAGAGAAGAGAAATGGTGTAGGCTCGATCTCCTAACATTTCAGTAAACAATTTGCGCGCAAACTGGCATCAGATTGACGACAGAATCTGTCGAATTCGAGCAGGATTTGTCGACAGATCCATAGACATCAGCGTCCCCAGTCTGCCGTCAGACTGCTGACAGGGTCTGCTAACAGACTCTGACATCAGATTGGCGGCAGGTCCTGTCGTTTCGTAGGTTCTTCAATTAAATCTTTGGTAGAAGATTTTCTTATAATTTTTCATAATTAGAATTATTTTCATAGAATGAGCGCTTTATCATAAATACTCATAAATACTCGTAAAATAAAATGAAAAAAAGTTTTTCTATATTATTTTTTCATAATTTTTAAGATTTTCTCTGGTAAGATTCGAACTTGAACCGAAGACATCTTTTGGATAATCATCCGTTGCCTCAGACACTACGTCAATTCCTCACTTGATAAAAAGTGCTTTGTATTGCCTTAAGGTTTAAGGAAGAAAAATCTTAGAGCTTGTTCGCTTTTTAAACCGCAAAATATAGACGAAACTGTTTAGCGTATAAATAATATAAGAAAGATCACGATAATTTAAAACTAATTTTCTACCAGGGACTGTATAGAAAATTACTGCAATAAAATAGCAGATAATTACATTTTTCCATCATGCTAATAAAATACTGTGCTTTTACATGTGCGAATTAATTTGGTCGATCGTCCAGTTTAAATTGTATTAAATTTTATCAAAAT